TAAAAAAATAAGAATTAGATGTGAAAAACATTACCATTGAAATCTACCTGATGACTTTATATCCATGCTCAGATGCCAAGGAGCTCAGAAAGTAACCAACTATCACTAGTAAACAATCAGATATATAGAGATTAGAAACACATGTGCAAACATCTTAATGTCAATTGCATTGAAAATGAATTTTTCTATATGAAACTGTATATTTTAATAATGAAATGGAGATCTTTTTAAAAGGTTAAATCATCATTTAACTTTATGTCTTATAGGGTTTATACTGAGTACAATATTGTATAACTGTAACAATTCAACTGTAAACCTAAAAATTTATAGCCAATTCTGAAAAGATGCATCTTAGCTCAGAAAATTGCTATTGAATATGTCAATGCTGTTGTAATGAAATGCTTCTTCTAAGTATGTGGTTATTAAATAAATAATTAACAAAAAAAACCCCAAAAACAAAAAACAAAGAAACCAAACATCCCATATGGAGACTTTCCATGATAACACGGTGGGCCTCTTAAAGTGAATTTAATGGAATCCTAATAGCACTAGCTACTTAACAATAAATTAAGGTGGTTAATGATTCTTAAACTGCTATCTGATAGGAAATAAATAAATTTAGGGGTCCAATCATTTATTCTGGGTTGGAGCTTTCAAAAAAACCCAAAACCCCCAAACCCAAAAAGATGACAAAAATGAAGGCCATGCCTCAGTCTTCTGCAGTTTGTCCTCTTTCCCTTATTTTCTTTTTCTTGAATTTTCCCAAAAATTTGACCAATTTCTCTAGCTTTGATAACATTAAGCAACTGCTTCTACATATCTATATGTATATATTTATGTAACTATTTAATTCATATTTATGCCAAGAACTCAATTTGCTAAAGCTTCACCCATACTTTTACCTTTATCAATAACTGTCTATCCACCCTGACAACAGAAATATTTCTTTGTTGAAAGTTTCAATATATTTTTTCCAGAAAAGGAGAAGATATAGAAGTAAAACAAAAAGAATATTGGGTATACACAAGAAAGGCCAGAACTAAGAGTTGCTGTCAATAGAGTAAAAGCAGATACTGAGCAGAGTGCCTCCGAATGAGAAGTCAGAATGGTCAAAATGGAAAGGGGGGAGGAAGTGTGTACATGAAATTTACTGCTAAAAATGAAGACATCCCTGAAAAGATGAAAAAATTCTCTTTCAGAGGGTTTCCAAAGTGTGACTCACAGAACTGCAAAAGCAGAAGTTTGTATGTAGAAATAATCTCATTAAACTGAAGATGAAATTTAGAGTATTTAGGTGATGTGTACAAGGCCACATAATGCAGGATCTGGACCAGAACACAACTCTCTAGATGGTTTCCTTCCATGATACCGCCTATGTCTGCTTCACAGTGTGTGCCACTGGGCAGTTAGAGCAACAAAATTCTAGACTAAGTAGACCAGGTAGAGATACTGACCTAACAATGGATGAGATTATTTTAAACAATGACCATAGTAGGATTCATTTGGGGATGGAGTGGAGGAGAAACAGAATTAAAAGGAAACCGTAGACAATAACAGAAGCACAAGAGGAAATAATCTCGTACTGTTTGTACAAGATTACAAAGTAATTTTGTACTGTTATTTTATTACTGTTATTTTAACTCCATATAGTATATAAAACATAACAGGAAAAAAACCCAACAAATTTATAAAATAAATTGGAAATGTTTAGATGAAAAAAACACAAAAAGCTTTGCCTTCATGTCTATAGATCTCTCAATATGCTGTTGGTCTTGCACTTATAGATACCAGGGAAAGAGATCTAGCTTGAAACAAAAGTTGGCATGCTACGAAGTTAAGCTGCAGTTAGTTTGGTGATGGGCCAGGAGAGAATAGATTCCTTAAATCTTTTTTTTTTTTTGCCGTTTTTGAGAGAGGGTCTCCCTGTAGCCCTAGCTGGCCTGGAACTCACTATGTAGACCAGGCTGGCCTTGAACTCAGAGAGGTCCGCCTGCCTCTGCCTCCCAGTGCTGGGACGAAAGGCGTGTGCTACCATGCCTGGCTAGATTCCTTAAATCTTACCCTAAACTATCGGCTATAATAAATGTTGATATGCAGAAATGCAAGCTTTTATCAAACAGCAAGAGGAAAACTTAAGTAAATGAATACAACTTACCTCCAAATCCTCTTAAAGGAGGTTAAAAAAATTACTGTGTTTTATCATTGCCCCCCCCCCCAGCATTATTCCAAGCATGCAGGAGGATGTTGTAAGCAGCTACAGTCAACAATAAGATCTACCCAGAGGTAGGATCAAGGCTGCTAGGAAAATGACTAAAGAAATTCTCCTAGGGCCAGCAGCATTTCATAGAATGCCCATTTATGCTAGGGTTGAGTCATGGCCTACATTATTTCCATTCAAAAGGACATTCCCAATTTCAGCCTTGCTGAAAAAGAGGCACTCTTGCATCTGCTACTGAGAATAGCTAGGATACCAGGTAAGGCTGACATAAAATTATTTAGCAAGCAGATGCTAGCTATTCCAGTTTGAAATCTACCAAACTGTAAAAGTGAAGGGAAATAAAATGTTCAATATGGAGTTGTTCCTCAAGATGAGGAATTAAAAGCTTACAAAAAGAGGGATTAGGCACTCACTTAACTCTATATGGAAAACCTCTCAAGCTAGGCAGACAATAAGCGTATTACCAAAGGTGACCAGCCCATTTGAAGACCAAAAGAGAGGAGAAAAAAGTACTAGAAAGACAACTAATTAAAGGGAAATTTCTGGGTCTGATTAGGTAAGTGAATCTAAGGCAACCACACCAAAGGTACCTGACCTGTTACTCTGGCCTGAATCTGGTGACTAAATATCTCAAGACACTTTCAACCCAGAGCATGAAAAATATTATAGTTAACCAAGCAAATTAAAACCAAACCTCCAATGGCAGGAATCTCTTCAGATCTGAAATGAAAGATACTCACTTCTCATTAAATCTGTGTGTTAACCAGAAAAAAAAAAAGTAACAAATGCAAAGACTTGTTTTATTTCTACTGAGGGAAGGAAGAGGATAAATATAAGTGTTAGCCAATTTGCTTGCCACTGTATACACACATACCCACACGCATACATATACATACATACACCAAAATCCCTCCCATCTCAAAGAATCAAAAAACCAAAAACCACCCTCAAACTGCACCAATACTTTGAATAATTTGACCAAAAGAATAGATCCTGGGAAGAAGTGCAAAATGCAAAATCAAATGACCGAGAAATGCTGAACAAACAGCATTATTAATATACAAAATATTTATATTACTGAACTAGTAACAGGTGATGTTCTTTGTGTCTGTAAAACTTTGGAACAACATAGCTGATTGTTAAATCTAGTCCATGCCAGCTTCCAAAAAACCAGAGGATTTTAGTTAGCTTCATTCTTCGATGCTTCATCAAAATTTTCTACGAGATCTGAGAATGAGGAAAGAAAGAAAAAAAAGATAATGAGTCAAAAGAATCTCCAATAAAAACAAAATTGTTAAATTAGAATTAGTAAAACAAACAAACAAAAAAACAACAAACAGGGAGGCTGAAGAGATGGTTTAGGGATTAAGAGCACTTACTGCTCTTCCAGAGGACTCAGGTTCTTAGCACCCACATTAGGTGGCTCATAACTGCCTATGATTCTAGTTTCAGGAGATCCAATGCCCTCTGGCCTCCATAAGCACCAGCACTCACATGGTGCACATAAACTCACACAGGCACACACATATACACATAAATAAAGATAAATCTTAAAAAACAAAAAAACAGAACAGGCAGAAGTAAACTGGTGGTACCTCACTAATAATGATTCATTTTATCTGCATTTTGAAAAATAGTAATCTTGGGCTGGAGACATGGTTATTAGCACTTGCTGCTCTTGCAGAGGACCTGGGTTCAGTTCTCAACAACATAGTGGCTCACAAACATCTATAACTCCAGTTCCTGGGGATCCAATGCCCTTGTCTGGCCTCTGCAGGCACTGCACACATATGGTGCACTTACATACTAGCAAAACTCGCATACACATAAAATAAATCTTTAAAAAATGGAGTAATCTTGCTGGGTGTGGTAGTTCACATCTTTAATCCCAGCATTCTGGAGGCAGAAGCAGGCAGATCTCTGTGAGATCAAGGCCAGCCTGGTCTACATATTGAGTTTCAGGTCAGCTGGGGCTACAAGGAGATCCTGCCTCAAAAAAGCCAAACAAATGGACTTTTTCAATCTATGCAAAAAATACTGAGGCAAATAACATTTTTATGTCAATTATAAAGGCCAGCAAAAAAATTTTTTTTTCATTTTTTTTTAAAGATAGCCTCTGCTGGCCTGGAACTCATTATGTAGACTAGACTAGTCTCAATCTCACAGAGGTCTGCCTGCTTCTCCTCCTGGTGCTGGAACTCTCCCCCTGAATGCTGGGATTAAAGGTGCACACAACCATGCCTCACTCAGTGATTTCAGTTTAATACATGCAGGCGACAGAGCTTTGTGTGATATTCTCTGATTCTAAGTTCTGTTCCTACTCATTAGATCCTAGTCTTGTCAGGATCTCAGTCTAGACAACCCTGGGTTCCCTGGTCCTTGTGATCTGTCTAAAGGACTTAAACAAGACACACGGTGTAGCTTAGAAGATAGAGTTTATTATATAAAGAAGTAGAATACACTCTCAAGGGGTAAGTGTGGACAATAGCTTAAGGGTCCCATTGTCCCAGACTACTACTATTTTTGAAGTCTCCAAAACAAGCAGCTTTCTCTGAGGGACTCTGTTTTGTTCAGGTGACTGATAGGCCTGGTTTGGTTTGACTCTGATAAAAGGCAATGGTATGCCTTTGTTCTTTGCCAGATAGCTTCCTGCTGTACAGTAATCTTTTATAAAGTTTAGGGTTCCTGAAACCAGATTTGATAGTTATCATGACCCTCTGGGCAGGGACATGACTCAGGTGCTATTATTCTGACCAGTCCAGCAGTTCCAGTCCTTGGTTTTATAAAGGCTCATGACTATGAGGGAAGGGTTCATCTCATTGTCTTCTAAGCTGCTAATATTGAACTAGCAATTTAATACTACCCATAGCATTGTAAATCAATTTAAATTCAGTCAACAAAATCCTGAAAGTCACCTATGCAATGACTGAAAGATAAATCTTTTTTCTTAATTTTAAAAATTATATTTAAGGACTGGAGAGATGGCTTAGGAGTTAAGACCACGCGCTACTCTTGAAGGGGACCCGGGTTTGAATTCCAGTACCTACACGGTAGCTAATAACTCTCTGTAACTCCAGTTCCAGGGGATCTGATACCCTCTTCTGACATCCGAGGACATTGTGTAACATGGGTGCACTAACATACATGCAGGCAATACAATCATACACTTAAAATAAAAATAACTTAAAGAAATTATATTTAATTAATTAATTAATTAATTAATTTTGTGGGTGTGCATGCATGCAGAGGTCAGAAGACAACTTGTGAAAACTGGTTCTCTCCTTCCACCACGTGGGTCCCAGTGATCAAACTCAGCTTGTCAGGTATGGCAAATGCCTTTGCTTGCTGAGTCATCTCACTGCCTGAAATAAAATTGTAAGACTGAAAAATGTCACTAACCTGGAACATCGTCATCCTCTTCATCAATGTCTTCTGGTTTTGGTGCTTTGCTATCCAACACTACAAAACATTTATTTTACTATTAGTCATTGAGAATAAAACTTTTTTTTTCTTTTTTTTTGAGACAGGGTCTCCCTGTAAACCCAGGTGGCCTGGGGCTGTGTAGACCAGGCCGATCTCAAACCCACAGAGATCTGCCTGCCTCTGCCTCCCGAGTGCTGAGAAGAAAACCTTTTATAGAACACCTATAATGGTTATCCCCTCTTTCTTGTTTAAATCTCATATTGCTGCTAAATACTGAACATTTAAAATTCACTTCTTTTATTTTGTGTAAGTAATATTAAAACAACAAAAGCTTAACTTGATATATGCTGGTAATTCCAATATGCAGTAAAGGTAAAAGTTATATGCAAAATGAAATAATTTGGACAAACATGAATAATAATATCATGGTCATATTTATTCTTCAAATAAAAATATTCAAGACTTTGTTTTCTGTTTCATTTGATGTAAGTACCAGTATAAGTATCTAGCTGTGTAGGTATGAGCACTGAAACATGAGGGAGGCTCTTTGATGTTTAGGGACAAGATATACATGAAATCAAGACCACCTTGGAAATTCAAAATTTATGATGCACACACCTATAGTGCAATTGACAATACTATATATGAATATTCTATATGCCACATTTTATTAATTAGAAGCAAACTCCAAACTTTATAAATCATATAAGTGACGTTATAGAAAATAAAACCACACTGAAGCAAATCCTCTCAATTTAAGACAGGACTTTCTTTTCTGAGACAGGGTCTCTGCCCAGGTTGGCCTCAATCTCTCTCTATAGCCTTGATCCTTCTGCTGGGATTACAGGTGTGTGCCATAATACCCTGTGCTGGAGATTAAACCCAGGGCCTTGTCCCCACTAGGCAAGCACTGAGTACTCTTATCAGCTCCAGATGGAGTATTTTTTAAATTATTAGGTTCCTTAATTAAAGTAGGGAAGGGGTTAAGAGAGATGGCTCAGAGATTAAGAGCACTGGCTGCTCCTGAAGAAGACCTGGGTTCAAATCCCAGCACCTACATGGCAGCTAACAACCGTACATAACTCTGGTTCCAGGGGATCAAACAACCTTTTCTGTCCTCCACGGTCACTGCATGACATGGGTACACTTACATACATGCAGGCATAACACTCATACACATTAAATAAATAAATTTAAAAAAATTTTTTTTTAAATTAAAGTAGGAAAGATAAAGAGGCATTAAAATTGAAACGCCTACCTTGTCGTGGGAACTGTTCAGCTAACTTTCTAAGGCTTGTTAAGCTGTCAGCACCAAGCTGACTTAATATTCCAGGAAGCATTTCTGTGATTGGTTTGGCTTCTGCATGACCAGTAATTGCAAAGGTGTTAGCGGAAAGGGAAGCTTGGACCTTGGGATTGTTGAAATGAATAACTGTTCCATCATCTTTAATCATGTTTACCTGTATAAAAATACAGAAAACAGAAGACAACTAAAAGAGTATCTTTTTAAAAAGCCATTTTACCAATTATGGCTTTTTACTTAGTAGCTAAGCAATCCCAGTAATAATCAGCTAAGTTGGAGAAAGACCTTAGTAATAGAGAACAGTGGAGCTGGACAGCACAAATTACTAGGATGGTTCAGAAACAGTCACTTAGGTTCTAATGAGAAGAAGTTAATGACCCACTTTTTTTTTTGTCTTTTTGAGACAGGGTCTCCCTGTAGCCCCAGCTGTCCTGGAACTCACTATGTAGACCAGGCTGGCCTCGAACTCACAAAGATCTGCCTGCCTCTGCCTCCCAAGTGCTGGGATTAAAGGTATGTGCCAACCACACCTGACATGACCCACTTAAAAAAAAAATTATATTATTTTTATTTTATGTGTCTGAGTGTATTGCCTGCATGTAGGTGAGTGCACCCGTGTTGTGCAATGCCGTGGAGGTCAGAAGAGGGCTTTGGATTCCCCTAGAACTGGAGTTAAGGACAGCTCATAGTCACCATGTGGGTGCTGGCAATCGAACCTAGGTCCTCTGCAAGAGCACTCAGTGTTCTTAACCGCTGAGCCATCTCTCCAGTCCCAACCCACTTTTTAAAAAATCGGATTATCAATCAAGAACCAGCTTCTTAATGAAATTGATTACATATTATTTCATTCAATTTATGCTATAAAACAAAATCAGTATAATTACTACTTAGTAGGACAGCATCTTACTTAGAGGACAGACAGATTGGAAGGTGGAACAACTAAAATGACCACTGAAAATCCACAGACACAGAAACTTAGTAAATGAGTCGTTTCACTCCTCTGAATGCTTAGTAAATTTACTAAGCAAAATTTCAACCTATTTTTATCATGTTTTCTTTATGGAGATTTTTGTCCATTCTTTTAACAAATTTATTATGAAGACTGTAAATGTGGCAGGGGGCAGGGGGGAGGCATGCACAGGTGGAGGTCAGAGGACAACTTTGTGGGATTGGTTCTCTCCTTCCACCTTTACATGGGTCTCCAGAACCAAACTCAGGTTATGAGGCATATGCAACAGGTGCTTTTACCCACTGAGCCATCTTGCCAGACCTTAACTATTTTTAAACATTGTACACAGGGATCTTGTTATGTTGTATTCAAGCACTAGTCTAGCTTGAGCCTTCCACGTAGTTGGGGCTAAGGTGTTGCTATATCACTCTTTTACTTTGCATGCTCTGGGGTTTGCACTTAGGATTTGGTGCATGCTAGGGTCCACCGCTGTGCTATGCCCATCCTCAGCCATTTTTTAACTTTTTGAGACAGAGTCTCACTAAGTTGCTCAGGCTGGCCTTGAACTAGTGATCCTCCTGCCTCAATCTTCCAAGTAGCTGGGATTACTGGCCTGCACCAATAGGTCTGACAAGTATCTTTAATTCTTAAATATACTTTCTCAACTGTCTTCATTAATTTCTATAAACATCAAGGCTCTCCCATCTATTTATCTACTTGAACATGTTTTGTTAATGACTGGAAAAGCTTTTAAAATCATCCTATCATTATATCTCTAGCTTTTACCATATGAACTAATTGTTTCAGGTTTGATTTGTTCCATTGGCCTTGGGACTAACTAATAGAAGGGTGAACACATGCTATTTAAATTATTTTTGTTTCTCATGTACTTTCTCTTTGCATTTTTTGTTTTGCTTTGATAGGGTTTAATTTTTATTAGTTAAATGTATAGACAAATGTCACCATGCAGCTGATTATGCTGGTGATAACCTGCTTATTATATAAAATGGTTGCATTAACACATGACTATTTTAGAGGTGTTTCATGATTCATCCAAAAACTGCCCTCACCCCATTATGCAGATGTGGAGTGCTCTCTGTGGTCAGTGGCAAGTGGGCTTCTCCTCCTCAGAGGGGATCACCACCACTGACTACACAGGAAAAGAGGAAGGAAGAAAAAGGCTTCTAAAATTTCAGGCAGACCTAAAACAGAGAAAATATAGACAAATGCCTGGAAAATTACAAATAACCCCACAACTAATATCCTTTTGTGTGTGTATATGAAAAATCATTAATTCTGTACCCTGCCTTTTCTCAGTACTGCAGTGGACTGTATTTAAGGTTCTTTTGTACATACACAGTAAGCACTCAATCCTACTTCTGTAAACAAATGGCATCATGATAATTTATATTAACTTTAGAAGATAAATTACATAATTCTAAAGATGACTATAGTTGTAGTAGAAAAGTCAAATGGGAGGCCTGAGAAGGTGACAATGGTTATAAAACAGGAAGCTGCTCTGGATTACTCTAGAATCACATAATTTTAGTATGGGAAAAGAATAAGAGTGACAGGACTGCATAAATCACATGGTTCAATAAGGATTTCTACAAACACTTCCAGGCATGAGCCACAAATACTGGAACTTGAAACATTCTAGACTAATAGACATTAAAGTCAAAATAGATTTGAAATCCATGTTGTTTAAAACAATTCAGACTGTATCTGAACATAAAGGTCTGCTTCTTTAAAACCTTATGCTACTGGAATAAATACAGAAGACAGTGCTCTTGGTTAAGCAATACATCCAATGACAGATACCTGGTTAAGTGCGAGGTGAGTAGTGGAGTTCAACTTGGGTTTCTCAACTTGCTATTTGGTTTCCTTCCTATGAGGTCATTCTCATGCTTAAAATGTTTATTTGATTAGAAAAATTTAATTCCACAGAATTGAAATCAGGTATTTGTCTCAAAATAGAAGTCAAACAGGCCAGGAGTGGTGGCCCACGTCTTTAATCTGAGCATTTGCAAGGCAGACGCATGCAGATCTCTATGAAATCAAGGCCAGCCTAGTCTCCATATTGAACCCAGGCTGGCTGGGGCTACAGGAAGACCTTGTCTCAAAAACAAAAAAGCCAAATGGAAAAGAAAAATATCACAGATATGTGGAAAGGCCAACATGGGACAAAAACCATGACTTCATATGTTTTCCTTCTGTTCAGACTTCTCTCCCAGGGGCAGAATGTTAAGTCACACTACATCATCCTGATATGTCTTTCTAGTATGAAGTGGTTGTGTCACATCTGAGTGTGACAAGATGAATGCCATTTCAGAATGTGAGATAAATTTACTCTCAGTTGTTTTAAATAAGGTGGTATAAAGGATGCAGCTGCAGAAATAGAGCGGTCCGGAAGAGTGGAGAGCTAATCTTAGAACATGGAGAAGGAAATACCAGAAATTGTAAAAAGATTTCATTTCTATTGGACTTTCCTTCCATCCTACGAAGCGAATTACATAGTTATGTAAGGGTCCTACTCGTAAGCTGTAAGAAACTATCAAAGGATGTGGGGGAATAAAGCCTCTAAAAGAAAGAAAGAAACAATCAAAGGATGCAATATTGGGCTAAGCAAGGTCAGTTCCCCTGCTTTTTTAGGCAAACAAAAGAACTTGTTAAATTCACAAGGCAAACTGTATGCATGTCATATAGAGACATCTGCCTGTGATTTTATGCTGTTTGGTTTAAGACACACAATGTATATATAGATTAAGATCAAGAAGCCCTTATCTGTTGAGTCATCTTGATAGCCTCAAATTTGTAATTAATGGATTTCTCTTATCCTAAGACACATAGCTCTATTTTCCAATCATAGTGTTTCTGAAAACCATTACATTTTCATGAATACATTTAATGCTACAGAGCTTTTTTCCCCTCACAAAAAGCTGTTTTTTTTTGTTTGTTTGGTTGGTTTTTTTTGGTCTTTTTTGAGACAGGGTCTCCCTGTAGCTCCAGCTGTCCTGGAACTCACTATGTAGACCAGGCTGACCTTGAACTCAACAGAGATCTGCCTGCCTCTGCCTCCAGAGTGCTGGGACTACAGGCATGCACCAGCACACCTGGCTAAGAAGCTGTTTTTAACCTGAAAGTATATGAGCAAGTCATTATATATACATAGTATACTACATGCTCCTAAACAAAAATATTTTAAATCTGCAGCATGTTACATAAGCACCGAGATATCTTGGTTTTGAAAAGATCAATTTCAGAAAAAGAAAGAAAAAAGTAAAACTTTCTCATCTATGGTTGGTTCAAATATCTGAAAACTTTACAGCTACTGCTCTGTGTTGTTACTTTATGCGTATTTTCCCTGTGCATCTAGTCTGTAGGGATTGGAAGATAATGTGCTGAAAGTGGAGAGGAGGCTGATTCACACCACCAATTTTCCATGTAACATTCTGGAATTAATGAAATTGCAGTGGTAACATCAACAAAAAGAATTAACAACATAGTTTAATAAATGCTACAATCAAAGTGTATACAGAGCTGGGAGCATGGTTCAGTGAGAGAAAGCATGGTTAATATACATGAAGCTGAGTTTGATTCCTACCCCCCCCACATACACACATACTCACACACTCATTAGAGGGAGAGAACATAGCCTTTCTTTGAGTGCTACCAGAAAGACTTCTGAAAGAAATTACTTCTGTATAAAGATCTGAAAAGATGAAAAGCAGCAATGTCCTTAAAAATACAAATGGAAATTTATCTATAATGTCATCAATATTGAATTCTAAACAGTAGATGCTCAAAAGACACAAGACATACATATTTTTTTTTGGGGGGGAGGGCAACGGTAAGGTAGTATGGAAGAGACAAGAGAGGAAAAGGCCAAAAATAAGAAGGTACAACTGAACAGATCAAAAGCAAGCTAGCCTAACGGATAGTATATTTTTTATTTCAAACCCATATTCCCAGCACTTATTAGCTATGACATCTCGGGTTGGTAAAACTCTATAAGCACTAGTTCTTTCATCTGTAACTCAGAGGAATGTTATGAAGTTAAAATAGTACATATTTATCCGTCTAGCTGTCTAACAAGTTTCCCTACAAGATAATTTGCAAATGATAAATGCTAAGAATATTTTTTATACCACTATCTAGTACGTTCTTGGCAAAATGCTTAGTACACAGTAGATACGCAGTATAAGTGTTAACTATTATTATTTTTTGGGGGGGATCTTTTTGAGACAGGGTCTCCCTGTAGCCCCAGCTGTCCTGGAACTCACTATGTGGACCAGGTTGGCCTTGAACTCACAGAGATCCGCCTGCCTCTGCCTCCGAAGTGCTGGGATTAAAGGCGTGCGCCACCACGCCTGGCAGTGTTAACTATTATTAAGCTTTTTAGTTGACAATTTCAGTTACAACAGAAGCATGACCTCAGTACCATTATAAGTTTGATAGTAGTCTGAATAGACCAGGGATTACTGACAAGGGCTGAGAATGAATCAGTGATAGAATGCTTGTCTAGCTATGAGTTTTATTTCCAACATCTACAAAGAAAGTTACTGACTGGTTCCTTATTTCATTGTGAAAGTCATAAAAAATCTTAAATCTTAAGAGCCATAGGAGCTGGAAAGATGGCTAAGTACTTAAGAGCTCAAGCATGAGGACCATAGTTCAAATCCTCAGAATCAGCCTAAGAAGCTAGGAGTGACCACACTGGTGCTGTAACCCTGAGGGGGGACCAGAAGGACTGCTGGGGCTCCATGGCCACTAGCCTAGCTCCAGGTTCAGAAGATGTCTCAACTGAATAAGGCTGAGACTGATAGAACAGGACCCTTGGCATTCTCCTCTGGCTTCTGTGAGAACATACACAGGTGTGTGCACCTAACACACAGACACACACATATACCAACATACACCACACACACACACACACACACAGACACACACACAAAGAGCCATAAATCAGGTGTTTTGGTGAGTGGTATAACCTATAATCCTAGCACTGTGGAGGTTAAGACAGGACAAATAGCTATAAAGCCTTCTAAATCTGAACAAAAACAAGTATTTAGAAATAGATGCTCTTAGAGATACTACAAAGTTAAATCTACACTGCAAAGCCAGGTGTGGTGGTACACACTTGTGATCCCAGCACTCAGGAGGCTGAGGCAGGAGGATTACTGAAAGCCTGTGGCCAGCCTGGGTTATATAATGGGAGAGTCTGTCTAGAAAAAACAAAACACAAAAAAATCTACGCTATAAGGGAAGTACGTTTTCTACCTCTCTAAACAAATTATTTCTCAGCCAAAGATGATTTTTTTTTTCTTCAAAAAACCATTTGACAGTATCTAGAGGTTATTTTCTGTTGTGGCGGTGGTTGTTTTTCAGACAGGGCCTTGCTATATTATATAATCCAGGCTGGCCTGAACTTGTACTGGGGATGCAGACTCCCAAGTGCTGGGATTACAGGAGTGTACCAGCACATCCAACCCAGGAACATTTTTGATTGCCCCAACTGGGTGTGTGTGTGGATGTAACTAACATCTAGTGGACAGAGGCCGGGGAGGCTGCTAAGCATCCTATGAAGCACAAGAAAGTTGCCACAATAAGAATTATCTGCTTCAAAATGCCAATAGGCTGAGGTTGGGCATATAGCCAGAGTGGGAAAGTAGTCAAAGACAAAGTGTGTAAACATTTTCAGTTACGTTAGGCTGAGTATTATTAGAGTTCGTATCTGTATGTCTGTTGCTGCAACTTACTGCTTTTTACCTTATTTATTTTTGGCAGGTAGTAGATTAAACTCAAGGTCTCATGCAAGTTAGACAAGTACTTTAACACTGAATACATGCCCAAAGAGAAGTTCGAAGGAACTTAAGCGTCTGTTTGTTTTGAGACAGGGTTTCCCTGTAGCTCCAGTTGACCCGTACCTCATATCAATCAGACTGGTCTCAATCTCAGAGAGATCTGCCTGCCTCTGTCTCTGGAGTACTGAAATTAAAGGTGCATTCTACCATGCCCAGCTAGAAATGAATAATTTTTTAAGGGCAGCTAGGGCTACAGGGAAACCCTGTTTCAAAAAAAAAAAAAAAAAAAGTGTTAATAAATCCAATTAGCTGAGTGTACACCTATAATCTCAGTCAGTACTCTGGAGGCTTAGGCAGGAAGATCACAAGTTTGAGGCCTACTCAGACTATACAGTGAGACAATACCTTAATAAATAAAATAAAAAAGAAAGGAGAGAGACTCTCGTCATTTTATTATTATTTTGGTCTTTTGGATATATCTATTATTTTATAAGTGTATTGCCTACATGCATGTAAGTGCACCCATGTCGTGCGATGCCCATGGAGGTCAGAAGGTGCCCAATCCCCTGGAACTGGAGTTACAGACAGTTGTTAGCTGCCATGTTGGTGCTAGGAATTGAAACCAGGTCCCCCTTCAAGAGCAGCCAGTGCTTATAACTGCTGAGTCATCTCTCCAGCCCTATCTATATAAAGCTATTGCTAGAGGTTTTTGGGTGCTAGAGGCTTTGTGGTATAGGAAGGTTAAGTTTGGGTTAAAAAAGTCTCATTTGAAAAAATATTGGGGTTTGTTTCTACATCATTAGAAAAAACTAACTTGTTGGGCATGGTAACACATGCCCTGTCTTAAATATGAACACTAAGAAGGTAAGATCACAAGTTGGAGGCCAGCCTGGGATATACAGTGTCTCACAGAAATGAAAAAAATCTTATTCTACATTAAAATTCAAGAGCAGTTTCATAACTCTGTCATATATGTAAATACTTTAAGTCTGAAAAGTATGAAGAAAATGCCTAACTGCCTATTAAAAATCACTTGATTTCATCCAAGAAGCAAGTTCAGTAGCTACAATCCTTCAAAGACATTTGCGTGACAATACCCATAGTTTAATGTGGAAAGTCTAGAGAACTGTGCTCACACTATTGCTCTGTAATTTAGGTTTTCAAAGCGCTCCTACCTCTTCAATACCAGCTATATTATTCACAGCCAGTTTTTTTAGAGAACTCTGAAGCTTTTTGTCATCAGCTGTAGCTGTTCTATGTACCACCTTCTTCTTTCTTCGAGCTGTGCCCTGAAAAGTAATCAGACAGAGGTGTTGACATGCCTGGCAACTGGTCTTCCTACCCACAACAATCTAAAATACACATTAAAACTAATCAGTAGTGATTAATAAAACCACAGAGTTGTGACTGTCAGTCAGCAATTTTCTGAAGGTCACTTGTAGCTAGTTCTTATTCTCTAGTACCTTAAGCTTTTATCATTTCAAAGCATTATGTTTTAAAATACTGTTCGATAACAGAATATAATTTATAAACACAGCTTAGTGTACTTTTTAACAAGTTTCAAGGACCATAAAAAAGGAATGCTTTCACAGAATTCTTGACAACCCCTTCTAGTAAAGTCTAAGGATGGTCCAAAACCTTAGGAAATACAGTAAGAATTAAATCCCTACTATGTAAGTGATCTAGAGTTTGAGAATCTAGGAATGAAAAAGACCAAGATTTTACTTTAAGTTCTTATATTACAGTAAAAGGGAAATGTCAACGAAATATATAAACAAATTAGATAATTTCAAACAGGATTAAAGGCTATGAAAAACAAAAACATGGTAATTAAGAGTGACTAGGTGAGGACTAGTGTAGACCACAACTAGGGAAGCGTGATCCATGATCCAGGCAGAACAAACAAGGCTGAACTTGTCCTTTCTAGACAGAGAAAGCAGGCCAGTGTAGCTAGAGCAGAGTGAAAGAGGAATAGAAAAATAAAATCAGAAAGATACACAAGGGCAGATCATATAGCTTAGAATTTCATAGGCAGGTGCTTGACTTTATTCCAATGCAATAGGAAACTATTAAACAGTGACTTCATCTGACCTATTTACTCCTAAGGTTGGTGTGTGGGAAACTGACTAGGAGGCTATAATGAGACCAGTTAGGGGGCTTGTGTGTAAGTATCGTGGGAGATGAGAGTTGTGGTAGCATAGATGGTGATGGGCCAGACTGTCACAAGAGACGACGTGACTTCCGATGGAACAGATGTGGGATGTAAGGACGATGCTTAGGACTTTGCCCTGGGCAAACAGGTTGAAAACTAGACTATTTACTAAGACAGAAAAATTCATTTCTATATTGATAATTCAAAATACATTTTTCCACTGAAAACCATTTAAGATTAAGGATTAAGTTTCTGGGCCAATTTAAAAAAAAACGTAACCGAAATGCTACCAAAAGCCTAAATTCTGAAGGTTTTAAATCAGAAACCAGGAGTGATAGGAAGTGATTTCAGTCTCTGGGGCACTCCTGCATTAGTCTTTGCCTTGCAGAAAAAAGGCTAAGGGCTTCAGTCTCAGCAATTTCAGTGGCAGAAGAGAGCTCTGACCACAAAGGTTAGGATGACATTTAGTTGCTGAAGTATCACTATTTTAACAGATTTTCATTTATTTGTGAAGCTTTCCTAATTTAGGAATAGTTGCTTACTGCATATTTCCTATTTGTTTGATTTGAGACAAGGTCTTACTATATATATCATAGTGAAGCAATCCTGCCTCCACTCCCGAGTAAGGGGTTACAGGCACATGCTACCGCACAGAGCTACTTGCTATAGATACCTATCGTAACGATCCTCAGGTACTTCAACTTGTCTAGTCCTGTGTAGTAGCTTATGCATACTTGTATTCCCACCACTCAGGAAGACAGAAGCAGGAAGATGATCTACAAATTTGAAACCAGTCTGGTTTACATATCAAATTCCAGGGCAGCCTGGACTTCACAGTAAGATTCTGTCTCAAAAACAAAAAACAAACAAAAAATCAAACATGTCTACAGTCCACCAATCTTCCTTTATCTCCTAATTTTATAGTTGGTGGTAACACCATAGACCTACTTTCTAAAATCAAAGTCTGGAAAACATCCTAGATTCTTTTCTCTGCCCTTTACCCCTCCACCCCCTCCCATATCCCATGAATTGACTATGTCAATTTCAACCCTTAAATTTGTCTCATGTAGTACAGGAACAGCCTCTTGACTATTCTCTATGCTAAACTTCCATTTCACTTCCTTCTTAAAATCCTTCAATAGTTATCCACTGTGTACATATAAAACCCCAAGCTCCTTAGAATGGCACATAAAACTACGGAGACCAAAATACCTGGTCCTCTCATTGCCTGCCATTCTCTATCTGTTATATAAACTAGGTGTATCAAACTAAAGCCAGCCATTATTAAACTCAGCATCCTATGTGCCTCTGCATGGGTGCAACTGACAACCCCAGTTTTATCCTACTTCTTCCTAACCCTTTCACCTGTTGGTCTAATAATGAATTCTTTTTATTTAAAATTGGATATTTTATTTATTTCAATATTTTATTTATTATTTTATGTGTACAAGTGTATTGCCTGCATGTAAGTGAGTGCACCCGTGTCATGCAATGCTGCAAAGGTCAGAAGAGGGCTTCGGATTCCCCTGGAACTGGAGTTAAGGATGGTTCATAGCCCCCCTGTGGGTGCTGGGAATCGAACCCAGGTCCTTTGCAAGAGCAGTCACTTTTTTAGATTTTCTATTATTTTTATGTGTATGCATGTATTGCCTCCATGTATGTTAAGTGGACCCGTGTCATGCAATGCCAGTGGAGGACAGAAGAAACCATCAAATTCCCTGGAAATGGAGTTACAGACAGTTGTTAGCTGCCATGTGGGTGCTGGGATTCGAACCTTGGTGTTCTGTAAGAACAGCCAGTGTTCTTAACCGCTGAGCCATCTCTCCAGCCCCATAATGATAAATTCTTATTCATTCTTTAAATCCCAGCTTGCCTCTTCTAAGCAAAACACCTTGTTCTTCATTATAACACTTACCATTCTCCATTGTAATTGTGAGCATGACTCAACTTTCAAGTTGAGCCATGTTGAAAGCAGGAAATCCTATTTACTATGCCTGACACATAGTAATTACTCTGAAACAGTAGATAAATTAATGAATGTACCAATCGCTGAATTAAAACTATGTAATTGTGGGCTGGAGACCTTAGTAGGTCAAGTGCTTAGTGTGCAAGGATCTGAGTTTGGATCCTCAGAACCCATGTAAAAATGGGGATGGCAGGCAGCATATGCCCGTAATCCTAGCACAGGAAAGTAGAGACAGAAGGATTCTGCAGGCTCGCTGGCCAGCTAGTCTAGCTGAATCAGCAAGCTCCATGTTCGGAGGGAAACCATCTATAAAAACAAGGTGGATGGGGCTGGAGAGATGGCTCAGCAGTTAAGAACACTGGCTGCTCTTGCGGAAGACATGGTTCAGTTCCCAGTACCTAAATGGAGGCTAACAACCACTTGTAACTCCAGTTCCAGGGGATCTGACACCCCTGGATCTGACAACCCTTCTTTGGACCTCTGTGGGCACTGCACGACACGGGTCCACTTACATACATGCAGGCAATACACAAAAAAATAAGTTGGGGCCAATGAGATGGTTCAGTGGTCCATGTGGGCAGCATTTGCTGCCAAGCCTGACAACCTTAGTTCCAGTCCCCAGATCCCACATGGTAAAAGGAGAGAACCGACTCCTGCAAGTTGTCCTCTGACTTCCACAGGTGTCCCATGCATATATAAAGACATAAATACACACGCACACAAATAAATAGCAAAAAATAGTAATAATAAGAGGTAGTAAGCAATAGGGAAAGATAATCTGACTTTTGGCCTTTACACACACTTAAGTTTGTATATACCTGCACATGCATGCATACTCCACACATATACACATAATAAAGAAATAATAAAAAATGTAATTGTGGTCTGGAGCATTAGGCCCTTCTACATATATCCTACTGTATTAAATGTTAAATCTCTAGTTTGTGCACTGGTATACTGTATCATACTTGGTGCTACAATGTGCCGACTGTGGCCTTCAGTGTGTTAATATAACTCCAGAGTCATACAACTCTTAGCACTATCAGAGGAAAAGTACTAGTCACTTCTCTTACCCTTCTGTCCACCCTTAGGAGCTGTGGTTATCCTCAGTGTACATGATGTTGGGACCTGTCACACAGTGTCCTACCTGCTTTTTCTTCATATAAAAGGAGGTTCTGTTCTCTTTTTTAAACATTGTATAGGGTAAAGATGAGGGTAAAATATTCTTCTTGATCCTAAGACCCCAACTGAAGGGAAATCCAAGGGTTTTTGGTGCTCAGAACTAGCACTTCCTTTGGCTTTAAAGTGAATGGAACATGAAAGCTTATGTTCATGTTCAACATGAAAGAACAAGTAGGAATTTGGTAGATGAATCTGGTAATCAACAAAATGCACAATCACTTCAAACATCTCCAGTTAAAACACTTGTCCCAGTTTAACCACTTGTATACAGCCAGGTGTGGTGCAAGCCTTTAATCCCAGTCCTCGGGAGGCAGAGACATGCAGATCTCTGTGAGGCCAGCTTGGTCTACACAGTGAGTTCCAGGCCAGCTGGGGCTACAGGAAGATCCTGTCTCAAACCTCCTACCCCAAAACAACAACAAAAAACCCCATTTATACACCTAAGTCCATGGTAGTAACATTTAATCAAGATAAGATAATCCTAGTATCTATCATTCCCTACAGGTAAATCTAACAATAGCTATTATTTAAGCATGAGCCCTGTGTCAGGCACCACCTAGGTGTTTTATAAACAATCTAATTTTTAGAAGCACCTTTAGGATTATTTATATTTATTACAAGCATGAAGACCAGAGTTGGGATCCCCAGGACCCACATAACCACTGTGTGGGGGGGGTTGGCCCATCTGCAATTCTAGCATCTGGAAGGCGGAGACAGGGGACCTGGGAAACAAGCTAAGATCCACCTGGATATATAAGGGGCATCAACAGGCATACACACACATGTATACTTGTGTGCCAACACACATTTGAACCCACATACACACACACACACACACACACACACACACACACACAAAGAGAAAAGGAAAAAAATGTTAGAATTCAAACAAGGGTGTCTATTTCCATTGCCATCAGAGAGGAAAGTCTACTTAACCTGTTTTAGATCTAGACAAATTATTTTCAAAATGGAATGTGGTTTCATCTTGATTACTGAAAAGATTTTTGACTCAATGACCATAAATTCAAAGTAGCAGTATTATCTGGCAAGCATACATTCTCCTATCAGTTTTTCTTATACCACACTCACCTTGCCCCCTATCCGGACCTGAGCTTGAAGTTTGGCTAACTTTTCTTGATTCATGCTGTTGGTAAATCTAAGGGGGGGAAAAAAATTTGTTAAAGTCACTCTTTACCAAAATTAAAAAGCCTGTATTTAAAACAGTACCTTTTGCTTCACTGAGCTTATAGTATTCATTAACATGATCATACCAATATTGTCTATATTCTTAATAAATTTAAAAAGCCTTTTCTATCTTCCTAAACCAGGTATTAAAAAATGAAATACCACAGGGAGTCAGATATACAAACAAAAAATGAATGGGATTCAAAGCTATCTAAAGATTCCTCTGTGAAACACCATTCAGTTCTTTGGCATTCAGAAAAACCTAACCAATTACAAAATCTCTGTAGGCAAACCAGCTTCATCTCCTAAAGATTTCCACAGTAAAGAACTGTTACCAAATGTTATCAGCAAAACCTTCAAGTAGATCATTTTCTCCAGATCACATTCCGTATTTCTTATAACCCATGATGACAAAAAGAAAAAAAGCCTAGGCAAAGAAGAAACTGAACAATCAGCTGTCTAGTTGTCATAATACAAGGAAGTCACATCCTCTATTCAAGGTCAGATGATGTGTTAATAATGAGAAACAGTACCAGATTTTCAGACATTCACTGCTCCTGCAGCACTCAGGAATCCACTCCAGACCTTGCACTGATATACTATGTCACACTTTGCAAGATATTCCTGCATACAGGGTAAAATGCTTCACTGCACAACTTGACAAAAATGAATCTTGGCTACATTAACACCAAGTTAGCAGAGGGAGAGATTTAAAAAAAAAAAAAAAAAAACTTTTTACAGCAAATTTAGATTTCTGGAGAGTCTAAGGACATTATAAAATCATGAATTCTAGTCTGGTCAATGATATTCCTGCTAACAACATTTCACACTTTATAAACAGATAAAAGCCAATTTAAAAGTCTTGTCTGACTTGTACAGCTTAACAGATCATTACTGAGGTGTGAGGAACAGAGTAAGAGAACAGGCCATTACTAACCCTTTTTTTGGATAATTCTTAACTCCTGCAACTGCATCATTCAGATTAAAGATACTGTTTTCTACATTTGAAAGAATAAAAGAGAATCAAAGCTTTTGTAATTGCTAACCATTCTGCACCAACACTAAACTTAGGCACTGACCTGTACATATTGCTGCTTAAAGGTTAAATCCATTTCCTAAATAAAAATTAGAGCCTATGACCTCTCACTTTGTTCAACACTTGTTCTAGCTTGTATCTCGATTGCTGTGACAAAACACTCTGATCAATACCAACTTTGGGAGGAAAGGGTTTATTTTGTCTTACATTTCCTGTGTCACAGTTCATCAGGGAGCCCAAGGTAGGAACTCAGGGCAGGAACCTGGAGTCAGGAGCTAGAGCACAAGCCATGGAGGAACGCTGTTTACTGGTTGCTCCCCTGGTCCCTGTTCAACCTGCTTTCTCATACAACATAGGCCCACCTTCCCAGGGGTGGTACTACTCAGTGGGCTGGGCCTCCCACATCACTCAATAATCAAGAAATGCCCCATAGACATGGCCACAGGCCAGTCCAATGGAGGCAATTCACCAGCTGAGGTTCCCTCTACCCAGGTGTGTCAAGTTGACAACTAAAGCTATCCAGCACAGAGACAAAATGGGCTTGAGATTAAAAACTCTTTCAATGTATAAAGCACAGATGTATACACAGGCCATACAGATTTATGGCACATCTGTAACTTTAAAGCTTCATGGGAGGGGCCAATGAGATGTCTCAGCGAGTTCACCAATTGAAGTTACCTCAATCCAGGTGTGTCAAGTTAAAGCTATCCAGCACAATATTATATCATAATGGTCAATCAGCTAAATATAACACTCATATAGAGGCGTTATGTGTAAAATCCAAAATCATAAGCCTTATATGTGCACCAATCTTAGCTATGCCATAGACTTTAATTTGATGTAAATTTCAATTTTGATATTCAAATACCCACAGGAAAGGACTAAGGTTCATTTTCCTCAAAGGACTATGGCCATGAAGGTATAGTGAACTAACAAAGGACTTAAGGAATTTCTTGCAAAAAGGAGTCAAAATATTTAAACACAGGAAAACCCTTTGGGACAATTCTGCATTTTGAAGTAACAATCCCCAAGAAGAGATGGAGGTTGGAAAGACAAGACAGAGTTCAGACGTATATGAAACAAAAACAAGAACAAAATTAACTTTTATCATTGTATAGATGAACAGATTCCATTCCAGGTGGTTAGTTAGGATAACAGAATTAAGAAATCTTATTCCTAAGGAGTACCTGAAAAAAAAAAAAAGCTTAGAGTGATTGGGACTTCAAGGCAGCAGGGAGGAATAAATGTGGTCTTTTGTCAGTAAGTTGGGTATGTGGAATTCAAGGAGGAGACTCAGTCTATGAGATGCCAAGCTGAGAACCTGGAGTAGACCTCAAAGGATCACCTGGTTCACCCTATTAATCAATTGATCTTTATTGTACCTGTCATTTTTGCTTTATGTGTGAGGTCATTTCAAATACTAGTAGCAGCAGAACATAAATTATAAACAAAACAGTTCACATCCTTCCCAGTTTAGCAGAAAATGAGGGCCCAGAAAGAAGTTCCTTCCTACGCCCCAAAGGGAGAAGTAACTTCCTAGGGCCACATGATCATTGAGTTGAGTATCTAAGAATCTTTTTTTGCACGTTCCTCAAGGACTCAAGAGTATGAGATTAATCAATATTTATTGAGTACCCAAGTTCCAAACATTGTGGTAGGCACTTTCACATACATCATGTTCACAAAAAATAAAAATAATTTGAACTTTCAGACCTGACATTTCATGTGAGGTTTCTTTAATAGCACAGGCTGTGGAGTCAGAAAGCCCAAGGTTCTACCACTTAGGGCTTCGGAAAGGTATTTTCCTTCCTTGAACTTGTGTTTCTCCTGCATTGTTTTGAGATTTAGTTAAAGCTTGGATTATCAAGCACCAAGGTACGGCTGACAGAGATACTCAATAGTTGGTAACTATTGTTACCACTCCGGAGAGGTCAGCTGAAGGTACAGTTTATGAACTTGGGAACGGAAGTTGAAACCGCCATTCACAAGCTGTGTAACAGTGCCTGGCGATCAATTATCAAGCAGTCTGATGCGGTTATAAGGATGGGCTGTCAAAAACAAGGCAGACTTGTAAACAAATACTGTCATTTCAAGAAGAGCACTGCAACCTAGTTCCGCCCCCCGGGGGGGGGTGCTACCTCAATTTCCCCATCAGTAAACTGGGAGGCAAATGAGGTTAACAGATAATCTGTACAAAGCTCAAAGCTTCTGAACTTGTGAATAAAGCGGAGTGACGGGACCGGGGGGCGCCGGAGCCCGGCCCTCTCCTCCTGGCAGCCGCGGTGCTGGGGACCTTCCCTCAGGTGCGGACCCCCAGCTGCGCCGCCCGTAACCAACGGGCCAAGCCGGCCGCCTCCGCCCCCGCTCGCCGCGCCAAGGCGGAAGTAGCAGCCAGGGCGGACGGTGGGTGTC